CTGGTGTGGGCTGAGGGGAGCAGGTGGGAACAGCAGTGGAGATCGTGGCCGAGGGGGATGAAGAACCTGGTGGCTGGTGGTGACTGGGGCAGGAGATGGGGTTTGAAGGCAGCCTAGATGGTGCCTTGGAGGGGGCAGCTGCTCCCCAAGGAAGGACCTTCACACCCTCTGACCTGTGGGCAGGTGGGAGGAGGAGGCAGCATTCTGAGCTCTTTCAGTGAAGGTGGAGCAGGGAGGGAAGAGTGAGCCCCACAAAGGGAGCTCAGGAATTCAGAGGAAGCTTTCCCATCTCTGGGACATGGCGCTGGTCAGTAAATAGTGGTCAACTTTCTGCTCCTCATCCAAACTGCTGGTGCCTCTCCCTCCACAACCCCTTCTTTGCCCTTGGCAGTACTAGCCAGTCCAGTTTAGCACTTTGTACCAAATCAAGCCCATTCGGCTTCTCATGTAACACAGGTGTTCCATTTTACAGAAGAGGAAAACTGAGGCTTGCATTTGAACTTCTTCCAATCTCCCTGCCACCCCACCCCTGTGTTGTTGCTGTTAAGTGTTGTTGAGTTGGCTGTGACTTATAACAACCGTATGCACAACAGAACGAAACACTGCCCAGTCCTCTGCCATCCTTAAAATTGTTGCTACATTTGAGCCCATTGCTGCTGTCGCTCTGCCAGTTCATCTCATCGGGGGTTTTCCTCTTTTTTGTTGACCCTCCACTTTACCAAGCATGAGGTCCTTCTCCAGGGACTGATTCCTCTGACAATATGTCCAAAGAACAAGAGAAGAAATCTCACCATCCTAACATCTAAGGAGCATTCTGACTGTACTTCTTCCAAGATAGATTTGTTTGTTCTTCTGGCACTCATGGTACTTTCATTACTATCCATCGACCCCATAATTCAAATGCATCAATTCTTCTATGGTTTTCCTTATTCATTGTCCAACTTTTACATGCATATAAGGCTAAGGGCTCAAGTGTGGTAACAATTGTGAGGGTGACCCAGGACCAGGCAGTGTTTCATTCTGTTGTGCATAAGATCACTGTGAGTCGGTACTGACTTGATGACACCTAACAACAAGGCTAATGAAAATACCATGGCTTGGGTCAGGTGACCCTTAGTGCAATTGCTCTTTGATACTTGAAAAAGGTCTTTTGTAGCAATATATCTTTTGGTTTCTTGACGTCTGCTTCCATGAGTGTTGATTGTGGATCCAAGCAAAATGAAACCTTTGTCAATTTCAATCTTTTCTCCATTTATCATGACGTTATTTATTGGTACAGTGGTGAGGATTTTTGTTTTCTTTACACTGAGGTACAATCCATACCGAAGGCTTTGGTCTTTAATCTTCATAAGTAAGTATTTCAAGTCCTCATCGCTTCCAGCAAACAAGATTGTATCATCTGCATATTGCAGACTGTTAATGAGTTTTCCTTCAGTCCTGATGCCATGTTCTTTTTCATATAATCCAGTTTCTTGGATTATTTACTCAGCATACAGAGTGAATAATTATGGCAAAATGATACAATCCTGGCATACATCTTTACTGATTTAAAACCATTCAGTATCTCCTTTTTCTGTTCCAATGACTGCCTCCTGGTCTTTGTCCAGGTCCACCCCATACCCACACCAAGAAAGGACATTTAAGTGAGAGTCCTCAGGTCTCTTGTGGGGTTGTTTGCCTAGTAAACCACACTGCCCCTTGAGAAGAGGACACAGGAAATGGGTGGTGACTGAGGGACCAGCATGGCCCCTTGGCAAGGATGAAATTGGCACCACTCGGGGGAACGTGTGAAGCTGAAAGGGTCTCTGATGAGGATGTTTTCAGCATGATTCTGGTGTCCTGGGATGAAGGCTGATCCCTAACAGGTTCTGGAGGCTTTGCCTTGGCCCTGCCTCCTTCCTTTGCTATTCCCAGCTTTGCTTACCACGCCCCCACACATTGAATTTTCTTCACCCAGGACCTCACACATACTGTTCTTGCTGGCAGTACACCCTGCCCTGCCCTGGCCCCCTCCCACTGCTCTCCTCCTGGGTTCCCTCCTCTCCCAGCCCCATGCTTCCCAGCATTTATTAGAATTTGAACGGCTTGCTTGTGTGATGCCTGAGCCAGCTTTGGGCTTCCCACTGGGAAGTGCTGAGTCTGCTTGTTCATTGTGTCTGCAGGACTGATGAAGGATGCCCTATGTGCCCAATGAATGCAGGACTTGCGTGTAGTGGGTGGTCAGTCAGTGTGGGACCTGCATGCTGTGGGTGCCCAGTAATGCTGGACCTGCTGGGCATGAGTGCTCAATGAGTGCCGTTGAAGTGATGAGAAGTCATGTCCAGCAAGTGTGATTCTGGTTTGAACTGAAGTGAAGTGGACTGGGGCTACTGGACTTTGCTCATGATCCCCTCAGTTAACACTATAGAGTAAGGACCATGGACTCGTAATGTGGGCATGCCATCCACTGCTCTCGGCATCCTTGCCTGTGGGCAGGAGACAGGTCTGTGTGGGCTACCTGTCTCTCCTGAACCGGCCCCTCACACAACCATTGTCATAGAAGGTTCTAGAAGGCAAATCCTTCCTTTCCCACCAGCTCTAGTTGCCCTTCCACCACAACACACTTTTGATGAATTTGAGTTTCTTAATTGTGATCTTGGCAGTTTGCTACCCTCCAGGCGGTCAGGAGCTGGCTGCTCCAAGGTACCAGGCTGGGCTGAGAGCAAGAGTGCTCCGGCGGCCTCAGGTCAGCAGGGGGAGCCCGTGAGCTATAACCTGGCTCACTGTTCTGGCGAAACCTCCAAGGGGCTCCGCAGCTCTCTGGCGCCCCAAAGGAAAGTCCAGGCCAGGTTCAGGGAGCTGGGCTAGAGCAGAGGACCTGGCTTTGTGTGGAGAGAGTCCACCAGTGAGACCTGCTCCCCACTCACCAGCTGCGTGAGAGAGGCCGGTGATAGTGGGGCCCTTAGTGAATGTTAAATAGGGGATGTTAAAAAGGCAGCAGGTCTGTTTGGTTGTGTGGCTTTTTCTTCTCCACCCTCCTCACAGTTGGTACATCTGAGCCCATTGTTGGTGGCTGTTGTGTCAGTCCATCTCATTGAGAGTTTTCCTCAGTTTCTCTCTCTTTTTTTCATTTATTGAACATTTTATTGTGGTTTGGGTGAAAGTTTACAGAACAACTAAGTTAGTTTCCCGTTCAACAATTTATATCCCTCAGTGCAATGCAACAGCACTCACCCCTCTTCCTCCCTGGGTTCTCCATCTTTCCGGCCCCTTCCTGCCTTCTGAACTTTGTTTTTGCGCAAATGCTGCCCTTTAGATCTCCTATGATTGTTCTGAGAAGCACGTTCCTCATGGTTGTTGCCACTTTATACACCTTTCTGAAAGGTGATGTCCGAGAGTGGTCTCAGTTCCAGGTTCGGAGTGTGTCTAAGGATCATGGTCTCAAAGGTTCCTCCAGTCTCTACTAGAGTCTGGTCATTTTCAGAGTGTTGAATTTTGCTGTACATTTTTCTCGCACTTTGTCTAGGACCTTCTACTGCGATCCCAATCAGCGTGATTGGTAGTGTTACCCGATGGCTTTAAAAAAAGTTTTGATTTGAATCGAGTGCAAGTTTACAGGGCAAATTATCAGTTTTACATTCAATAAATCATATTTTGTTTCATTGTAATGATTGCAATCCCCTCTATGTACCACTAGTTAACAGTATTTACCCCTGCCTCCCTTTTTTGTTATTTTTTTTTAAAGCTTTTATTGTGAATTGAGTGATTGTTTACATGGGAGAACATCAGTTTTGCACTCATCCTATCATATTTCATTTCATTGCAATGATTACAATCCCCTCCATGCATCATCATTCAACAGTATTTGCTTCTATTCCCTCTGGGGTTTGGTTGTTTTTTGTTTTGTTTTTTTGGTTATGTACACAAAACTGCCCTATGGCTTTTTGAGGCCACTTGTCCTGGCTCCTTGTGCCCTGTTGTGTTGCTGTTGCCAAAGAGTCAAATCTGATTCATGGTGGCCCCGTGTGTGCAGAGTAGAACTGCTCCATAGAGTTTTCAAGGCTGTGACCTTCTGGATGCAGATCACCAGACTTTTCTTCCGAGGTGCCTCTGGGTGGGTTCCAACACCTCAAGCACTTCTGGCTACTAGTTGAGCATTTAGCTGTATCTATCACCCAGAAACTCCCTACAGGTAATGACAATGACACTGTAACTGGCTGGTGATGTGTTGTTATTAGGTACCACTGCGGGAGTTCCATCTCAAATGTGGCCTTTTGTATAACAGAACCAAACTTAAGGATCTGAGACATTCTCACAATCTTTGCTAGGTTTGAGCTAATTTTTGCAGCCACTTTGTCAATGGCTCCTTAAAGATCTCTCTTTTCACTGAACCTCTCCTTTACCAAGCACAATGCGATTAGTCCCTGCCACTGACACATCCAAAGTCTCTCCAGCCTGTCTTCTAAGGAGCATTCTGGCTGTACTTCTTCCAAGACAGATTTGTTGGTTCCCCTGGCAGCCCACAGTACATCCAGTATTCTTTGCCAACACCACATTCCAAGTGGTTAATCCATCTTTGATCTTCCTTTTCAACGATGGATAATGTAACTGATTCCGTGCCACCAGCCTGCCTGGCCTCTAGCATACGTGAGTCCTGTAAGCTTGAGCTGTTCTTCAAGGGTTGTGCCCACCGCCCCCTCTGTATAAACTTGGGGTCCCAGAGGGATGTGGGTGCAGCTGGAAAGCATCAGGACTGAATTCTGAATCCAGGTCTGTGGTTCTCAGTTGAGTCCTTCAGGTTCCCTGGGCCTCAGTTTCCCCCCAGTTTCCCAAGGGGATAAGGTTTGTTGTTGTGATCTGTGGACTGCTTCAGCACCTCTCTCCCCATGTGACCGAGGGAAAGGTGGAAGGAGGTGTGTCAAGAAGTAGTTGTGAGGACAGGGGGACTGGGCAGGGACAAATCCCTGGACTGCCCTTCCCCCCTGCTTGCCCTGATTCTCCTCCCTGTGCCCCTCCCCCAGCCTTTCTGAAGGGCCTGAGTGACAAGCAGAGGGAGGAACATTATTTCTGCCAGGACTTTGTCAGACTGAAGAAGATCCCCACATGGAAGGAGATGGCGAAAGGTAAAGGTAGGCGCTTCTCGGGCGGGGTCCCGTGGGTATTTGGTTGTGGTTTCTTTAGAACCTTGGGCTTGGGAGACCTGACTAGGCAATGACAAGAAAAATCATCTTTGCAGCATTTATTGAACACTTACTATGTGTGGGGCACTCTGCCTATACCACCTCATTTAATTATTCAGCATGACCTGAGGCAGGTTCAATTTTAATTCCCATTCTGCTGTTGGAAAACTGAGCCCCAGACCCTTAAGTCCATGACTACATGGTTGTTCTGAGCTGGGATTTGAACCTGTGGTGCAGTTGGGTCTTACTGATGAGCTCCCAGGCCCTGCAAGTTGTTGGCTTGCTGAACCTGGACAAGCCCCAGTCTCCATATCTGTGAAATGGGCTTCTTGTTGTCTGCCTTGGAGTCAATTCTGACTAATAATAACTCTTTAGGACAGAAGAGACCTACCCTAAAGGGGTTTCTAGGCTGCACACCTTTACAAGAGCCAGGTCTTTAACCCCATGGCATGGTTGATGAGTTTGAACTGCCAACTTTTCAGTTAGCAACTGAGTGTTTAACTATTGTATTGTTTAGTGCCATTGATTCAGTTCAGACTCGTAGAAAACCTGTATGGGGTTTCCAAGGAGTGGCTGGTGGGTTTGAACCACCAACCTACCAGTTAACAGTCCAGTGCTTATCCTACAGCACCACACCAGGACTCCATTGGGACTCTATATAGGGCTTCTGAAACTATAAATCTCTGGGGGAGACGTAAATCTTCCCAAGGAGTGGTTGGTGGATTTGAATCACCAATTCTGTGGTTAGCAGCCCAGTGCCTACCCCACAGCGCCGAAAGCTGCTGGTGATGCTGTTCTGATACTCTAGGAGACCACGTATCAGGGGTCATTTCTGTCATCATCCGTCACCCACCCCACCGCTGCTGCCTGCCTAGGAAGGTGGAGGGAGGCTAAGGGGAGGTCCTGGGCCCGTCGGTCAGTCTGCAGTGAGGGTCCTCCCTACGACCCCCTGAACACCACTCATTCTAGGGGTGACTGTAAAGGTGGAGGAGCCCAAGTACAAGAAGGACAAACAACTCAACGACAAGATCGCCCTGTTCCGCGGTGACATTACCAAGCTGGAGGTGGACGCCATCATCAATGCCGGTGAGTGGAGGTTTTCTGGCTGGCCTGGGTGGCCGCCTTGTTGCCTGCCCTGGGTCAGCCGAGCCCGGTGTGGTGGACACCCTCTGGCTCCAGTGGGGCTTGGGCTGCTGGTTGAGTGTAGCCTGCTGGCGCCACAGAACTCAGTGTGTTGGCCACACAGGCTCGGCTTCCCTTGAAATCCTGACCCTCGGTGTCGGGGGCACCTCTGCTATGAGCCTTGCAGCGTCTGAGACCATTAGCATTCGGGGGTGGGGAGAGCGAGGCTGCCAGGAACACAGGCCAGAGCAGGATGGTCTGCCCTTGCGGGCTGCATTCACCCTTGACCATGTCTTTTCTTCCATCTGCTCTGCCCTTTTCGGACCTGGGCAGGTAAGGGAGCTCATGGGGAAAGGTGGGGTAGTGAGGCCTCCGCCACCCTTCTGGCAGCTCTCCATCACCGGAAATGGAGACTCTTGCTGGCTTGGCAGTTTATTGTGATGAGTAGGGGGTCACTGCTTGTGTCCTCTGGAGGAGGGAAGAAGGTGGCTAGTCCTCCTTGGGGTGGGGTTGATCGGTGGGGTTGATCGAGCAGGGTCAGAGGTGCTGGGAAGGGCTCACCAGTGGCCTGTGGAGGTGTGTAGGTGGTTTGTGGGGCTGAGTCTCCACTTTGAGGAAGTGGTGCCCCTTCGTAGATGCTGGTCAGACCCTCTGGTTTGGTTGCTGATACACAAGCTTGGGCACCTCTGGGTATTTTTGAATCTCCATGCCTTACTCTTGGGCCTTTGGAGTTGGCTGGGGTGTGTCCCTGAGTGTCGAGTATCACCAGGGTGTGGTGATGCTGATGCTAACCCCCCAGGAAGGGCCTGCTTGGCACTCTGGCCTGCTAGTTGGTTGCCTGGTTAGTGGTTCTACCTCTCCGCCTCTTGTGTTAGGCACGTAGACCACAAGGTAAATGCCAGAAGGAGTTCTGACTCAGATTTACTGGTCGAGGGGGCAGAAGGCGCTCTGGTCATCTTTGGGTTTCTGCTGGCGTCCGCACCTCACCGCTAGGTGGATGGGTGGCAGATGTCACAGTGACTGGGGTGAGAACATCTTGCTGCCTGTATTAGAATGATCCGGAATCTGAGAACAGATGTGTCCAGGTAGAGCTGAGCCGAATCCCTGCCCTGCCAGTTAGGGCTGTGGTGGAGAGGCAGTCACGTCTCTCAGCCTGAAGTCTCTCTGGTACTCTTCTTGCAAGAAGGGAAAAGTGGGGGTCTTATCAACACTTCCCCACCCGAGCTGGTGGCCACAGGGAGGGTGTAGGGGCTGTAGGGTGTCTCACAGATGGAGTAGGATCGCAGCGACGGCGGTGCGGCGGCGAGATTAATGGATCTTCCTAAGTGCCCTTGTGACTTGCCAGACGCCGAGTGCATGGCTGTGTCAGCTCCTCACCCTTGGAAAAGCACTTAGTCCTGGCTGCGTTTTCTTGCACCGGGCTGGGGGCGGGCCCGGGCTCCTCCTCCGCCTCCAGTCCCCGCCTCTGAGCACTCCTTGGCTGTGATGAGGGGAGGCCCGGGCCCATGAAGTGTAAATGAAGCCCACACAACAATGCGGCTGCTGGCTCAGCACCTGCCATAGAGAAGGCAAGTGGGCAGCTTTCACCGACCCCAACCCCTGTGCTTGCCTCAGATTACCCAACATCAACATCGCTTGGCGCCTTTTCCTGGGATCTCGCTCTTTTTTTTTTTTTTTCCCCCTAGAAAAAATTCTTTCTGTTGAGATCTATAGGACCCACAATCTGCCTGCAGCTCCAGGGAACGGGTCCCACAGGCCCTGCAGATCTTTGCTTGGTCCCTTGGTCCCAGGGTGACCTTGGCACTGGTGGTCCCCGTGCCCGGGTGTAGGGTGTGGGGTGGGGGTGTATGTGGGTTTTCAGCAGTGTTGGCTCAGGTTCTGTCTGGCTCCCTTCCTAGCAGGTCCTGGCATTTTCTCTGCCTGATGGCTTTGGTCCCAACCTCTGGAGTGTGTATGCGGGTACTTAAGGGTTCCTTCCCCGGGACTCCAGGATGCTTTTACTCCTATCTTTGGCTCCGTCTTTTGGGGCCTTGGCTCAGACCCCGATACTTGGGGTTCCTGGTGGCTTGGAGGACCTAGAGGATGGGTCCCGGTTGACTCTGGCACTGACTCACACCCTGGGGTCCTCAGGAACCTTGGCATCACGCCCACGGGTGTGTGTGAGGTCCTCAGTGGCCTTGTTCCGGTGAGTCCCCGTCCCTGACTTTTGCCCCACCCGCGCCCCGCGCCGACACCAGGGGGCAGCAGAGCTCGCTTCTCGCGGCGCCGCCCGGGCGGTAAATCAGCGGGTTTATTAGTGGGATGAAAGTGGTGGGGAACGCGGGGCTTTTCGGGGTGCCATAAATCTGCGTCTGTGCCTCGTGAAACCCATATGTGCTTAATTCATATGTAAAGTTTCAAGCAGGAAGAGAATACGTGTCCATTAAATTCTATTTGACTTGATTATAATCATTAGCCGTGAATAATTGCTTCTCAGCGCCGGCCACGGAGCCACCACAATGGGAGAAAGGAGGGAGCAATTATCTCGGGCTGGGAATTTTTAAATTTTTATTTTTGAAGCTGAGGGCAGCGTTGGCCCCTCGGGTGTTGGTGGCCCGCAGGGAACCCTGCAGGTGGGGCTGCCTGTGGATGGGGTCTCTTTTTGTCCCCCTGCCAGATGGAGACGGGGCTGGGAGGGTGGAGCAGCCTCCCCACCCCCGCCCCTGGGCTCCCTGCAGCTGCAGAGACTTGGTGGGGGGGGCGCTTTCAGTGGGATCTGGGAGGGGCCTGTGAGAGAAAGGGGGTCCAAGCCCTCCAAGCCCCTTGCATCTTTAAAAGTCAGGGTCTGGGGCTCCCAGGCCAGGTAGAGGGCCCCCTCCAGCCCTGCTGTGGTCTCACCCCATCCCTCCCCACAGACAACTTGTTTCTCACCTGTCTCCTGGCATTTAAAATCCAGATCTGGCTTTGACCATACTTTGTTGGTATTGGAGATGTGATTGGGGTGTGTGTCTGAGTGTGTGTAGTGTGTGTGTATGTGTATGTGTGATGTGGGAGGGCTGCCGAGGTTTGGATCTGTGTGTGTGTGTTAGTATGATTGTATGGTTTTGTGTGCATTTTTATTATGTATGTGTGTATGTGATGTGGGGGTGTGGGTGTTATGTGTGGGATGGGTTTTGTGTGATATGTGAGGCATTGTGTGTGTGGTATATATGTGTAGTGTGTGCTTGTGTGATGTTGGACGTATGTGGATGTTTGTGTGTTATGTGTGTGTTGGTGTCTGATGTGAGTGTGTGTGATATGGGGTGTGTGGGGGTATGTGTGGTGTGTGAGTGCATATGTGTGTGTGATGTAGAAGTATGTGTGTTTGTGTGGTGTGTGAGAGCATATGTGTGTGATGTAGAAGTATGTGGGTTTGTGTGATGTGGGGTGTCTGGTGTTTGTGTGATGTATTGTGTGGTGGTGTGTTTGTGTATCATTCATGTGGTATATGTCTAATGTTGGCTGTATGTGAGTTTGTGTGATATGTGCGTTGATGTGTGTGAGATATGTACAGTGTGCTGTGTGTGTGCGTGTGTGTGATGTGTGCAGTGTGGTGTGTGTGATATGTATGTGTGTGCTCTGTGTGTGTATGCTGTGTGCAGTGTGGTGTGTGTGTGTGTGTGTGTGTGTGCAGTGGTGTGTGATATGTGCAGTGTGATGTGTGTGTGATATCTTCTGTGTGGTGTGTGTGTGTGGTATGTATGTGTGTGTGATATGTGCAGTGTGGTATGTGTCTGATATGTGCAGTGTGGTGGTGGTGGTGATTAAGTACTGTGGAGTTGGTTCCGACTCATAGTGACCCTGCACAGGGTTTCCGAGGCTGTAAATCTTTACGGGAGCAGAAAGCCTCATCTTTCTCCCTCTTAACAGCTGGTAGTTTTGAACTGCTGACCTTGAGGTTCACAGCCTGATTCGTAACCACTACATGGCATGAAATGGGGCTGGGACAGACAGTAGAATGGTAGGTAGTGCCTGGCCAGTGGGTAGAGGCTTTGGGGTCGCAGGAGTAGGAACCCCCCAGGTCCAGTCATCCCCACCCCCATTAAACCTCCTCAGGCCCCTTCACGGCTTCAGGCTGATTGCCCTTTCACTATCCCCCAGAAAGTTCATGGCTCCAGCCATCTGTACAGGCCACAGCTCCTACCCGTGGGGCACACCACATCCATCTTAATTAAACTGGGCTGGCATGCTGTTGAGATGAGCATGGAGCCCCTGCAGGGCCCCCACCCTGCAACAGGAAAGTTGGAGGGTTGATAACCCCAGGCTGTTTGTGAAGAGTCAGCTCAGGCAGGGGGCTCCACCTAGGGCATGGGGGTTCTGCAGCTCTGGAGCGGGATTTGACTTTTCTTTGTCTCAGGGGAGCATGACCTTGACCCAGTCACTTCCTCCCAGGCCTGGACCTGTGGGGCCCCCTTGTCCTTGACAGACAGGCGAGTTCCGGTCAGGAAGTATCCCAGAAATAGAGAAAGACCCCATTTTTGGTGACCCAGGGGTCTGGCCCATGGCCTTGGCCTGCAGGACATGACGGGACTGACCAGGATGAATGTGATGCTTTGTCAGAAATGAGAGGGACCTTCCACCTCAGAGTGGTTCTCAGGAAGAGAGTGGGGGCCAGGGGGCCAGGGGGCCAGAGACGATGGAACCCTAGGGTCCTCACTCCTCTGTCTGGAAAATGGCACCACAATCGTCCCCACCCTAGTGTGTGGAGGATGAAGTGTGGCAGCCCTGCCCAGAGCTGGGCGTGGACATTATTACTGGGAAGTCAGGAACGAGAGCAGCTAAGTAGAATATAATGTGACAAAGCCTGGAAGCGAGGTCTGAGCACAGTGCCATGCGACACTGCCGCAGGGACCAATTAATTTTGTGAGGAGGTGGCGGACAGCGGGCGGGTCAGCAAGGCCTTTGAGGGGCTGGGGCATGAAGAATGGGTGGGAAGCAGGCCTCGG